CAAACTAAGTCATAAACGGGGAGAGGTTTTGATTGTACAGTTTTGATCTTTGGCACCGTACAGTCAAGTAATATTATGTAAATGGCTGAACCCATTGTGATCACTATAATCATCACTGTTTTTTCTTCCATTTGTAATCCCTCTATTACCTGAGCTGATGCTCACCACAGCCCCAGGGGCTGGACAGAAGGCTACTCAGCCTCCCTTTAGAGCAGTGGTTCTCAACCTTCCTAATGCCGCGACCCTTTAATACAGTTCCTCATGTTGTGCTGACCCCCAACCATAAAATTATTTTCGTTGCTACTTCATAACTGTAATTTTGCTACTGTTATGAATCATAATGTAAATGTCTGATATGCAGGATGCATTTTCATTGTTACAAATTGAACATAATTAAAGCATAGTGACTAATCACAAAAACAATATGTAATTATGTATGTGTTTTCCGATGGTCTTAGGCGACCCCTGTGAAAGGGTCGTTTGACCCCCAAAGGGGTCACGACCCACAGGTTGAGAACCGCTGCTTTAGAGACACCTGGGTTCAGGGAGATCAGGTGAGATAGCGACGGAGCTAGAAATCCTGACCCCACTGTGGCATCATTTTCTCAAATTTAATTTCATCAGGTCAACAAAAGGAAGGAAGGAGGAAAGAACACTCCTAAGTTAAATAACACTTGGTTGTCCTTATTAAAGCCCACATTTGTCTTCGAGGCATACGTATTATCCCCATGAGCACCTACCTACCAATGATCAAACCCAGCCAAGGACCAGAAACATGTGAAACAAGTCACATTTTAACGCCACTGTCGCATCTTTCTTGCAAAAATATAACTGTAGCCCAGATCCCAAATTACCCTTGATTTTCACACTCCTGAGGGTGTACAAAAACTTAAGAACTCGGACCATAGGAAGCAAGCAGAGACATTTTTTTGTACTGGGCAACTTTCTTTGCTTCTATGTTTTGTTTCAAAATGAGGACATGTTTCACCCTAGAACTCCCCCAAGGAGCCTACCCAAATCCTGTGGAATCTCGCCCAATTTAAACCTTAAGTAATTAGAAAAGAGTCTCTTCAAAATTGAAGACAGCTAAAGTGCAGTACAAGCATAATTACTACCTTGTTCAAACATGTATGCGAAAAATCCAGGACAACATATGCATTAAGAGAGGTCAAATGGGGGTCAAGCAGCGGGTCATGGAGAGATGGAATGGGACCCTGTCAGGAACTTCTGGTGAGTGCAAGGGGCGGGGGGCGGGGGGAGGGTGGTGAGTAGGGAGGGAGCCTGGCGTTCGTCCTATGCAGAGATGCCTGACTTTCATGCATTCATCAAACTTGTTTTGAGAACCTTCCATGTGACAGACACTGGGGTAGGAAAGTGGGTAATTAAAAAACAAACAAACCAACAACAAAAAATAAAAATAATAACAGTATTCTTAACATATTGCGGACGGATCACGAGAATTCTCGTGTTTTCTGTTCTAAAGCTTGTGGCCAATCACGAGAATTCTTTAAAAAGATATTAGCTTGTAAGAACATGTAATAAATAACTTCAAAATGCAAAGGGTATTTAATTTTAAAGCGTGCCTTTACCATTTACATAAAATGCTTTTTGTACTCCTTCAACAGAAACTTATCTGGCCACTGGGTAAAGCTAGCAATGAAACAACTGGTCCGCAATGTGTTAGGAAGAGGACATCTGTTTGGGAAGACAGAACACGCTAACGAGTATACCATGAGGTGATGGAGACAGACGTCATGAAACAATGCAGGTGAAATGATGGGGGATGCAGGAAAGGGCTGGTCACTGGCACCTGGAGAGCGGAGAGCAGCTCACCCCTGGGTGCCTTCCGCCATGTGTCCGAGAGCCCACCTTTTCCTCCCTGCACTGGAACTGACCCCACTCACTGGTGAGAGGCAGGGTCCGAGCACCGGCTCCAGAGCTGGGCTGCCTGGGTTCAGATTCCATCACACCTGGTACTCTTTGTGGGGCCTGGGCCAATCCCTTCCACCATGCTGTGCCTCCTCTGTAAACGTTTCCTCGTCTATGACATGGGGATAGAGCTTGGCCAGGGTGGCTCAGTAGGTTGAGCACTGTCCCATGCACCAAAAGGTTGCTGGTTTGCTACCTGGTCAGGGCACATATGCCCAGATTCTGGGTTTGATTCCCAGTAGGGGGCGTACAGGAGGCAGCTGATGGATGTTTCTCATCCATGTTTCTATCTCTCCCTCTCCCTTCCTCTCTCTCTAAAATTAATTTAAAAAATAAAACAAGCATTTAAAATGTGGGTAAACAGAGCAGCGATCAACAAGACTGCTGTGAGCATGAAAGGATAGAATCTCGGTGCTCACATCATCACGGGGTCAGCACTGCCTCCCACAGAACGCACATCACAGTGGCGGGCACACAGTAGGCATTCGGAACGACTAAATGAAAACGCGCAAGGAAAATGCTGCACTTGGGAAGAGAAGAGGGAGCCAAATTTCATGGGCCCAACGAGCTGAGGGCGAGAGCATTCCTCTCAAGAATCCTTTCATGTAGCTGAGGATGTGGACACTCTATTCCATGTCAAGTCTAGAAACCACTCAGCATGGTAGGAAAATAACTGTAATTGGATAGCTTTTGACGTTACAGTAAATGGAAAGAAGTTCACTCCCTTTCAATGTTCTGGAAGCAAAGCAATTCCTTAATAAAAGGGGGGCTAGCATTTCAGGGCTGGGAGCAAACCCACTCACTGCCGGGGGTGGGGGGGTGGGAGCTGTGATTGGCAGAACAGCTGGCCACTGACATTGCACGAGCCTCCCCCAAGGGTCCCCTTAAGTCCCTTTAACTGGAAGCCAGTCACCTGTACAGGAAGCGGGGAGGGGGGGTCACAGGAAGGCACACCTGCTCTAGCGAAGGCGTCCAGCTTAGGCAAAATCCTGTTCCAGTCCTAACGCAGGAAGCGGAGAGATGAGGCTGGAGTAACAGGCTTTCAGGCCTGGCTGATCATCCGTTTTGTCCACAGGGCAGGGGTCCTGGTCTGTCTGCCATGCCAAAGGGCAGCCAACGGCCAATCCACCAGTGGACTGTGCGGTCAGCTGTCTACCAGCCCCAGCCCACATTCAGGGCTCATTGCAATGCCTACGACTTTCGGTTGAAACTGCCTCCACACCCCCTAACCCCCACCTCCCACCTCGAGTCCACAGCCCTCAGGGAACAGGATGAATCGTTGTTTCTCACATGCCGAGATCACATTTACTGCTGTCTAATCATCGAAACTTTTATAAAAGCTATGAGACAGAACTTGTCCTTAACCCTCAAGCGTAATTCATCGGCAACAGCACCCTAAATGCAACTGAAACCGTCCTCGAGGTCCCGGGGCTGTGACTACGGCGCTGTCCCCTGAGGGCGTCAGGCAGGCTAGGACGGGCAGAAGGGCCCTCCTCCCCCACTCCCCCACGTGCAAAGCTCCCGCGCCCCTTCATTGAGGGTGCAACTGACTGAGCAAGTTAAGTCTCTACACAGAGCAGGCTGTGGGCAGCATTATTGCCCCTGGGGGGTCCCGGACCAGTGGTTCTCTGACGCCAGGCAAACGTCCTGGCCGAGATGAGAAGAGAAATGAATGCTGGTTGCCGGGGCTCTTGTACACCTGGCACAACACAATCAGTGCTTTTCTGAGTCCTCACCGGGACCAGCTAGGCCAGGGGTGGGGAACCTTTCTCTGCCGAGAGCATTTGGCTATTTATAGCACCATTCAAGGGCCAGGCAGAATTATCAACTTCAAAATTAGCCTGTTCTATGTGGTCAAACGTTTCATTAACGCACCCCTAATGCCTTGGCAGGGCCAGACCAAATGATTTCGCGGGCCTTAGGCGGCCCATGGGATGGCCGGTCCCCATCCCTGTTTTAAATCATAGCGTGACTAGGCGCCTGGCATGCTATGTACTTATTACTTGTTTATTTCCCGCCTCTTCCCAGGAGCACGCAGTTGTAGGAAGCAGCTGGCTTGTCTGTCTTGCTTAGGGGCTCGGTAAATGTTTACTGAATGAATGAGCCAAGCACAGTTACTTCAGATATCAGGTCGCTTTAATCCTCCGCACCCACAAGTGAGGTAAAGTCCTTCTACAGACAAGGATGCTGAAGGCGGTTACTGCATGGAGAGCACGGTGCCTCCGACCAGCGGCCCGGCGAGGGCAGCGCTCAGCCCTGCCCATCCCCGTGACACTGGGCAGGTCACCAACCAATCGCTAAGGCTCCGTACCTGGACCTGGCAGTGATGATAGCAGTACTGTCTATGGAGTTGCTGACAGAAGCTCAGACATATAAAAAGCTTAGAACGTTCATGGCTCGCAGCGGCGCTAAACGAGAATCAGATAAATAGCATCTCAGCTGAGGAACCCTTTACAAAAATAACCAAGTTCCTCATTCCGATTTTGTGCTCATGTGACAAGCTCCTGGTTACAACCCGGCTTTCCAGATCACCGTCTACAAAGGAAGTAACCACACAGGTGGCTCCCCCGGCCTGTGTGACCAGCTATGCGTTGCTCATCACACACGAATCCACCTGTGTTCCTGTTTGACATGCTGACAAAATCCAGGATCTAAACCAACAGGACTGAGGCCCAAACCCAGACAGTGTCACTAAGGCACACCTTGTGTGGTTGCTTAGCAACCTCCTAGCCACCATCTCCAAACACTACAACTGTTATCCAACTCTCCATCACACAAGCTGTTTAGCTGGGAGAAGGAAGTGCCATCACCGGAGACACCTCTTCTCTGATCAGCAGAAGATGGTGAGAGGTGACAGGGGAAGCGTATCCAGGCAAACACGACTGTCTCACGAGCAAAAGCCCCCACACCGTCCTCCGCACACACTGCTTCCGAGGTGTGTGGTGACCGTTTTAGAGACAGCCTGCTGGTCCAGGTTTCGCTCGAACCCAGGAGATGGCCTGTGTCACCTCACAAAGGGCCTCCCCGCGACGCGGAGAGCAGAGCCACGTGCCCGGGCCGCTGCACGTTACCTTGCCCTGATGGTCGTGTTTCATTTCCCAGCCCCTGGGCAGCTCCAGCTGTTTGTTGGCGAACATGTTGAGAAATCCCACAAGGTCCCGGTTGTGCTGGTAGCGTTCAAAGTGGTGGGTGTCCCGCCGGACTTTGGTGATCATGTGCTTCAAACACGTGTTGTTTGTAAACATGCGGTAGGCACTCTGGAGAAAGGATGGAGAACCAAGGTTAACCCCTGGGGCAGGCAGGAGCCACATATACACATGGGTGTGTCTGCTCCTCTGGTGGGCAGAGAGCCTCCCCCGTAGCTCTAGACCCACACACGGGAAGGGCAGACACAGAACAACATGTTTTGATCAAAATCATATGGAAAGGCTACAGAAAGCAAGGCTGTCTTTCCCGATGAGGTCTAGGTATCTAGTGAGTATGAAGGCCATGGAGTCTCATTCTGTAGGGAATGTCAGGTCTGACGTTTTCACCTAACTTCAGTTTTAGGCATAAAAAAAAATACATAGTCAAAATCACACCAGGCTGAAGACAAATATACCACCTTCCAGTGAGCCCCCAAGAAGCCAGCTTCCCTCCAGCATCGGGACAGATCACTCGCGTGAGTGCCCACGAAGCAGCTGGCACACACTTAGAAGTCAGGTGGGGGAAAGTGCTCGGCCATGTGCTTGAATATGAGAAGCACATGCAGTGGGGCTGAGCTGCTCTCACAGTTGAGCTGTGTTCATCTGAGACCACAGGAGAGTGAGGCATAAGCTCTGGGAATGGAATGGAAGACAGCACTATCTGGACTTTATACCTCTTACATATATATATTCTTCCCATTTTTCCTGTATATGTGTATATACAGACACACACACACACACACACACACACACACACACACACATACATATATATATATGGCCCAATTTATATTATTGAAAATGCACATGTAATAAAATTCGACTACACAACCACACAAAAAAATGTTTTGTCAAAAACGCCACAGTCTTCATCTCTATGCTACCTAAGGAATTGCTGGGGACCAGCCCCAGCCGTCCAGGGGTTCCCAAAGGTGTGGACAGAGTCGGCAAAGAATGTTTTACACAGAGACGAGACAGCATTCAGAACTCTCTAGCTCTCTTTAGTCTCCGTGGTTCTTCCTGTGCCTGGCTGAGGCCACAGAGAAAAGATCCCAAGGCAAGCTGAGCCTTATTTTATAGTGAGAGGTAAACAAGGTAGTGGTTTCCATAGTTACACAGTTCTTGTGAGTTTCACTTGTTTTGGCCACTTCCTGCACTTCCCTCAGCCCATTAGCTTCCCAGATAAGATCTAGAGAGCCTCATAAGGTCAAGCCTAATTATGTTAAGAGGACTGTGCCCTCTAAGCTGGGAATTGTTTGTGACTTTGCCCACAGGTCAGTCCAAGGCTTAACCCTATATCAGCTCCCGACAAGGAATATCCTGAAAACGGACCATAAGCCATGGGTGGTCCACATAGAAGTCAGCCAACGAACATTCACGGCACAATACCATGTGCCAAGGAGGGAACAGGAATAACTATGAAGCTGACCTGGCCAGGAATGCTCTGTCCTGGAATTAAACTCTATTCTCAGGTCGGTTCAAAGGGCTTTCAATCCCTCTTCCCTGGATCTGGAGACCTACAGGTTTTACTTCCTGGGTTATGTTAATTTCCGTCTAAGACAGACTAAGGCAAACCCCACAGAAACCAGAATCCCTGGACATCATTTCATTCTGCCTCCGCCATGCCCAGTACTGTGGCAGTGACTGAGGATAATAGATAAGTGAGTATGAGGACCGTCCACATTGCTCCTAAGTGTCCAGGGCCCCTCAAGACGTGTCATGTCCAGGTCAACGCATTCATTGCCAATGTGAGTCTCTCTTGAGCTTTCTTTCCTTTGGCACAGTGACTGGCAATGTTTGGAAAGGGGCCCAGCCTGGGCCCCTGGGGCCTCTGAGTGGCTACAGAGATCATAGAACCCTGACAATCCAACTTGCAATGCGTAACACAGCTTTGTTAGTTTGTCAATGAGATGTGCTATTTGCCATTACTGACATGTAACCTACACTATCCTATATAATAAAAGCCTAATATGCAAATCGACCAAATGGCAGAACGACCGGTTGCTATGACATGCACTGACCACCAGGGGGTAGACGCTCAATGCAGGAACTGCCCCCAGCCCCCAGGCCCCAGGCCAGCCAAGGTGGGTGCCAGTGGAGGCCCCCCGATTGCCCCGCCAGTCACTCCACAGATTGGCCCTGATCGCCAGCCAGGCCTAAGGACCCTACCCATGCACAGATTTCGTGCACTGGCTTCTAGTATAAAACTATTACGTAGTTATTCTGATTGACTCACTCATTATATACTTTTTATTTTGCATTAGAATATTTTCTCGCTTTCGAGACGAAAGGAAGGAAAGAGGGAAGGAAGGAAGAACACATTGAACCATTCTCAAATACTAGCGTAGTCTAGTTCCCTAATACGCCTGAGTATACAGTATTTGGAGGTCACATTTCAACTTGCCTAACCGAAAGCAGGCTCTGACGGCTGTGAGAAACCGAGGTGCCCAGCACAGAGTCTGCCAAGCCGGCATGCCTGCACAGGGCTGTGGGCAATTAGAGGGCATGAGAGAAAAGAAGGCGATAGCATGAAAGCAGAGACGGAGGCTAATAAAAGCAGTCGAAGGCTGTGAGAGGCGAACATTAGCTAATTAATAGCTTAGCCCATGGCTGACCCTGCCTTGGCGCTGAACGAACACTCGGCAAGGCATCTGTTTGCTGCACTTGGCTCTGAGCGGCGATCTATTTCCACAGAAGGCCCTGCAAGCTCAGAGGCCCGAGACCACACCGACCTGCCTGGTGGCAACGGCAATGAGCTCCCAGGTCACAGTCCCCAGTACGTCTCTTCGGGGACAAATGTTGGTGGGATAACTCCGTCCAATAAATCGTTACATTAGCCATTGTTGTAAATCGGCACGTCTCTTGATCCCCTCATTTCTCTCTCTCCACATTAAAGCAACTCAATAGGCCACATCCTGACCTTTATCTGGAGCATCAGGACTGCTCCTCACTCGCTACAGGGAAGAAGCAGAACTTCATTAGGACAAGCAGTGGCCGTAATGAGGTGAGGAGCCCGCCCCAGCCTCCCTCCGCCTGGAAGCGAGTCCCTGGGGTTGGACAGCTCTCCACACCTGAGTCTCGGGCTGCTCTTCTAATTAATTGCGGCCTTTCATCTTCCTCCTCTCCACTCAATGAGACATGTAATAGAGTGCCAAGCTCAACTGATCTTTGCAAAAAGCATCGACCAAAGCAAATTAAGTGTAAGGAAGATTTCTCTCTTTAGGAACTGGCAAGCAACCTCGAGCACCAGTGGTTTTCCCAGGCTGTGCAACATGCAGTGACTATTAGGGCCCATGCAGAACACTTGGCCAAACCCCTCCAAACGCTACACTTTGATGAAGAAACTACATATAGAAACTACATATAGGTTTATTCATACACTAGAGGCCCAGTGCACAAAATTCATGCACAGTGAGGCAGGGAGGGGGTCCCTCAGCCCGACCGGCACCCTCTCCAATCTGGGAGCCCTCAGGGGATGTCCTACTGACAGCTTAGGCCCTCTCCCCATGGTTCTCTGCTGTCTGCGGGGCCCGCTTGGCTGCTCCCGGGTCGCCACAGCGACGACCAAGCAGGCCCTGCTTTCACGACCACCCCCCAGGACTGGAGGACTCCAGCAGACTGGGCACTGCCATATTTATGTTGGAGTGACAGTTAATTTGCATATTGCTCTTTTATTAGATAGGATAAGTGTATTCTATTTTTGAGTATATTTTATATGTTATTCAATATATATACTATTTGTGTACATGTGCATATATTTATGTACGTATGTACATATATATATATATATATATATATATGAATCAAAAACATATTAATACACTCAGTTAATGTTGTCCTATAGTGAAGATTCTAGTCACAGTCCTGTCACTCATGACAGAGACAAAGGAAGTCATTTAAGCTCTGCCTCAATTGGCCCAGCTGTAGGATGAGATGATAACTGTCCTGCTCTCTTCATAATTCTGTAGGATTCAAATCCAGTGGGACAAGGATCTAAAAGATCTATAAAGAGGTAAAAATAACTCTAAAAATACAAAGCATATGTAAGTAAATGAATATATATGGGATTATACCTACCATATCTGTAACAGATGAATGATAGTAGTGAAGTTGTTTTCTACTCTGAGAACTTGGACGATCTTGACCCAGAATCCCACTTTCTATGAACTGAATAAGGGTCTCATCCCTTCTCATGAATTATGTGCTAAGCCCTGACCTAAAGACCTCAAGGACACAGAGATGAGCACGGCCTGATGACTCAAAAGGATGGAGAAGGAGAATCGCAGGGGCAGGAGGGAGGAAGAGGCTCGCCGAGGCAGAAAGCAGAGCTCGGGAAACAAAGGCCACAGGGGGGTGAAAGCACTGAATCCCACCGACAGGACGAGCAGAGCGAAGGACAGGGGTCCAGAGAGCCAGGAACACTGAGCAGGTGGGACCGGAGCGAAAGCGCGGACAGCGACAAGGAAAAGAGGCCTCTGTTCTCTCTCGTCTCGTGGTCCTCACTGGTGAGGTCCCCTCTCTGTGCGGGGGTTGTTCTCTGCTGTGCTGTGTCCTGGTCTCATAGAAAAAGGTGCTTCACTGTGAAGGGATGTGATTTCCCACCTGAAATGCAGGAGGTTAGGGCAGCGCAAAGGGCCTTGCTTCACAGCAGTCTCGGGGCAACGCACAGGCTGAGCTCCCCGGAAGCTGCTGCGTGTAAGGCGAGTCGGCAGTCGGTTGTTAACAGCAGACAGAGCCCCTCTGAATCTCTAAATGGCACAAGTTTTGTTTTCCTTTGATGTGATTTAAAACATACTTTTTGGTTAGTCCTTCTCTGTCCCAAAACGCCCTTTCCCCGCCTCCCTCGTGGTGACTGTTGTCTTCCCGGCAAGAAATGAACGCCTGATGGCTGAGTGACCGGTCAGCTCAGTGGTCACCTGGATGTTTCAGTGCAATTGTGTTAGAGTCACACTCCTTAGAGCGGAATGTGTGTTGTTTGCCTCAGTGTTTGAGGTGTTAGAAGTGAAAAATATTAAGAGCAACAGAGGGGAATTCCACTGCGATTGGGCAGGGGAATAAGACAAGGACATGTAAACATCCAGTTTGTGTCAATCAACCGATTCCTTTTGTGGCAGGTTTTGTTGTTGCTGTTTTATGGTGACTGTATGTCCTGCATCACCTGGCCCGGTCTGTTCTGTTTAATAACACAGGTAAGCACGTGACTGCTAAACAAAATCTACCTTTCATATTTCAAAAGTCCTTCATCGGGAATAGCTTTTCCACATTCACACTTGAAAAATACCATCATTGCATCTACAGCAAATATCTCTCACCTGTGGGAGCAGATGTGAGCATCTGTACACCTTAAAGAAGTTCATTATAAACAAAATCAAGTAACGTTGCTAGGATATGGAAACAGCCCTGCCTTACACAGTCTGTCTTTATTTTTACGTTACACGTTTTGTCTATATTTTTAATAATAGGGCTTTTACATTGTTCTCATCCAGCTAAGGAGTAAAATGGAGGGAAAATTTAACTTCTTGACCAAAGGTATTAACTTAACTCAATTCATCTATTTTGCAATAGTAGGAATACCTGACTTGCAAAAATATATTTATATATTTTGGAACAATGTTTTTCTTCATTAGCTCTTTGAGTGCCAACCAACATCCTAGGAAATATGCTAAAATTGCCAAGGCATTTTTGCTGATTTTACAGCAGTTTAGGAAAAAAATTATGAATCGCAAGTAAATGAAGTTACATATCCAAAAACTTATGGAAACCTTTACTACATTGACATATTTAGCAATATCATCATCACTAACAAAAGCAGACTTAGAACTGGACGCCATTTCAAAGCTTTGATAGCGCTCCCGGCACTTTTGGCAAAAGGCAGGAGGAGCGGGATCACGCTCCCCGGCACTCTAGGGGTTAAGCACTAAAAAGTTTATGTGGTGGAATTAATGTAATTCTAGAGCTTATTAAAAGCCAGAGTAATAATTATTTGGCATGTATGTTGGCAACATTATTCAGTTGCATATAATTGATATATTTATGTGTGAGAATTATTAGACACACACAGGCATACCATCTATAAAAGACATGACACTAATAATTAAATCTTGAGTTATCAGGAGAAATGGTTTATTGGGACAATTTGGAAGAAATCTGATCACAACCAACAGAGGGCAGTAGAATATATCTTAAAGCAACCATAATGCAAAACAGAAAAAAAACACCAATATTTTGTTTTCCAGTTTTTCTTTAGAGTTATCACAATCATATATCTACTTAATTATGTTCTTTTCAATAAAGATGATTAAGTAAAATACTGTTATATGAAATCTATGTTTTTATGACTAGCTTAACACAAACTGATAACTTCAAATCATAAAAAAGAAAACTAGGAAAGCTTTTAAATTAATACACTCCTTTAGTATGCTGAACATTTTCAATAATATAAACAGGGAATTTATTGGAGCGGTTGTAGGTCATAAACAACTCAGGCAAAAAAAAAGGCTAGATAATAAATCTTAAAATAAGAAAACCAAATAAAAGTTTGTTTTGTAACATTTTCCATTAACCTAAGAAGAAAAAGAAATGCCAGCAAGTAATGCCTTTTACCAAAAATTGGCTGACTTATCCCCATAAATTCATATCTTGAGACCATGAGCAAGAAACATCCAGCTACTATAATTCCTACGATGCATAAATCCGGGAAACACCCAGCAGGGTTTCAATCTTGCAGATGTGCTGAGATGCACAGCATCGACCATTTTGCAGCCAGGAACGAATGCAGTTCAGGCAGGAAAAGCAAACACAACTTAAATGCTTTAGGAAGAATTGTTTAAAACCAAGATGGGCTTCCCAGCAAAAGAAGTTTTAAAACCATGCCCACAAAAAGAGTACGGAAAACCAAAGCTAACCTGCAAACCAAATAAACAAGAAACCTGTAGTCTGCTGGGACTGTTCACCCGTTAGAGTAAGTTAGTTGTCAGCAGTCCTGCTGAATTATGGTGTGCTGAAGGCAGTGACGTCATTAAATGCAACATCTCTTTATACGTGGAAATCCCAAATTATGGGTCACAGACCACTTACATCAGCATCACTTAAGCCAGTGGTTCTCAACCTTCTGGCCCTTTAAATATAGTTCCTCATGTTGTGACCCAACTATAAAATTATTTTCGTTGCTACTTCATAACTGTCATGTTGCTGCTGTTATGAATCGTCATGTAAATATCTGATATGCAGGATGGTCTTAGGCGACCCCTGTGAAAGGGTCGTTCAACCGCCAAAGGGGTCGCGACCCACAGGTTGAGAACCGCTGACTTAAGGGGTCTTAAAAAAAAGGGGGCTCTTGGGACTTACACTACACCTATTAAACCAGACTCTCTAACGTTTGGAAACCAAGAATATGCGTGTATTTATAAAAGTCTACTGAGTTTAAAAACTGCAGCCTGGTGGTCCTTAACAGCATGAACCCTGGAGTCACGATCTCTGAAACGTTACCCTCCACGATACCACTGAGCTGTATGTCCTCGGGGGTAGTATTTAGCCTCTCTGTGCCTCGGTTTCCTCATCTGGAAACAAGGACTTTTCATCTAACTCAAAACTTGGGAGGAATGGGTCAAATCATATAGGGTGCTTAGCACGGTGCTTGGAACACACCTGGTGCTCGGTAAACATCAGCTATCGTCATTCCTACTTTGCTACACACACACACACACACACACACACACACACACTCACATACACACATACACATACATACATACACACACATACATACACATACACACATGCGCACATGCGCACATATATACACACATATACACACATACACACACATACACACGGAAGATGTCCTACGGCCGCTGCATTTTCCAGCACATCCTTCCCGAGGCGATACTCACGGGGTTCGAGTGTAGCACGGTGAAGAACTCGGGGCTGATGAGGAACTTCACGGGGGGAGACTGTAACAGCAACGTGAGCCTGGACCTGGAGGTAGAGTGCGGCAGGACGTTCTCCCGGCGGAAGTCTGCGTGGGGCGGACCAGACGGGCGTTCAGGGAGAGCGGTCCACGCGGCAGAAACATACCTGTGCGCGTCCACCTGGGGACACCTTCATCACTCGCATCACTGCTCTATTTCAGTGATGGCGAACCTTTTGAGCTCGGCGTGTCAGCATTTTGAAAAACCCTAACTTAACTCTGGTGCCGTGTCACATATAGAAATTTTTTGATCTTTGCAACCATAGTAAAACAAAGACTTATATTTTTGATATTTATTTTATATATTTAAATGCCATTTAACAAAGAAAAATCAACCCAAAAAATGAGTTCGCATGTCACCTCTGACACGCGTGTCATAGGCTCGCCATCACTGCTCTATTTCTTTATCCCCCAACACTTCCATCGCTGATGTACATTCACACAGAAAACCTGGTGGCTCTTCATTAGACTAAAGTGAAATTGAGGGTATTTCTGATCAGTTCACACCTGAATGCATCCGATGGTGTTTTAAGTGACCGGACTCGATCTTTGCCCACCAGCCCACAGATCCAGAGTTTAATTTATTTTCTCTGTGGGTTTGTGATTCTTTTCTCAGTACTGACACAAAGTCCAGGATGAAGGAGGAAGAGGTCCCTGGCGAATTCTGCTTTTGGAGCTGGATTACCAGATCGTATCGAAGATCCAAAGTTCTCTACAAGAAAAGCCTCACTTTTTGGCAATCCTTACTTCATCTGTGTTCTGCTTCTGTGCTAGGACAGCACCCCCCCCGCCCCCCGCCCCCGCCGCTCGTACCTGCGCTGGCTTGGTGGAAGTCGGCCTCCTCCCCTGCCCCATCGATGGCGGTGGTGTTTTCCTCGGGCCTCTCGTTCGTCATGGTTCTGCGGATGCTCTGATACCTAAAAGCAGGAGCTTCGTCATATCCCAGCAGCCCTGGGATCTGGGCCTCAACCCCTTCCCCGAGCCCAAGTTTCCGCGTCATCCCTGCCTCGGCCACTTCCTCCCAAACCTCCATCCCCTGACCGGCTAGGCCAGGGGTGGGCAAACTTTCTGACTCGAGGGCCACAATGGGTTCTTAAACTGGACTGGAGGGCCGGAACAAAAGCATGGATGGAGTGTTTGTGTGAACTAATATAAATTCAAAGTAAACATCATTACATAAAAGGGTACTGTCTTTTTTTTTTTTAGTTTTATTCATTTCAAACGGGCCGGATCCGGCCCGCGGGCCATAGTTTGCTTACGGCTGGGCTAGGCCATCTCTCACTTAAGTAAATCGCGTCGCATTGGATGTCTTCTGTCCATTGCTTGTGGACATTTTCCTAACAAATTTTTTAAAAATTGTGGCCATCACAGCCATCTTCCCGCTTCGAATTCCTTCTGGGGTCCCTCAATAAAGAACATAGGTGAGCCCTGATGTAGCTCGGTAGGTGAGCAGCGACCTATGAGCCAGGAGGTCACGGTTTGATTCAGGACAGGGCACATGTCTGGGTAGTGGGCTCAATCCCCAGTGTGGGGCATGCAGGAGGCAGCCGCTGAAGGATTCTCTCTCAACAGTGATGTTTCCCTCTCTCTCTCCCTCTCTAAAATCAATAAGAGTAGTTTTTAATAAAGAACACAGGTGCACACTGATATAAGTGGTTACTGGATTTTATCCAAAGAACTTTTAGCCCAGGAATTGATCTACGATGGGAATTATCTCTCTCATTATGCAATTTTCTACAGTATGTAACATTATGGTATAAAAGTGTGTACATCAAATATAAAATGCTGTATATACTTAATTTCAATTATTGGTATGTAGTTAAATCACTTAAAAGACATCAGTAAAGTGTCCTATAAGAGAAAAAACAATTGTGGTCCTTAACCAAAGAAAACTAAATCCCTCTATTGTTCAAGAAGAAACAACTTTTTGCTCTGTAGCAATCAGTACCTGAAAAAGGACAGATTAAAAAGCTTCCACTGATAATAAGGATGCATCACGCATGAGCGAGGGTTCTAGATATTTAAAAATGTATTTGGCTTACTAAAAAGCAATGCCTTGGGTTGACGAACAGGGTCAGCATCATACATTTCCTTTCCAGTTTCCAAACCAGCGGTGTGCACGTGTGTGTGCGCATGCGTGTGTGTTTGTGTGTGTGTGTGTGCACGCATGTGTGTGTGTGTGCGTGTGGTGTAGGTGGTGGTGGTGTGGGGGGGTATTATTATTATTTTTAACCAAGAGACGTTCAATGAAACCTATGAATCAAAAGACGTAGCACCTACACCTTAATGACAGGACACGCGGAGATGACAGCGAGACGCCGTGTTTCCTGCCTCGCACCAGGTAACCATGAGCCCAGCCCCAGCGCAGACCCGGGGCAGCGCGCTGCCCTCACCTGCGGTTCAGCTGCTCCATCTGCTGGATGGAGTTGGACCTCTGCAGCACCTGCGGGGCGGGGGGCGCCGTGGGCCGCTGCCACGTCGTGGTCCTGTTCACGTGGTCCACGTAGAAGATCCTGCCGTGGCTGTCGATGCGCGCCTCCCAGTCTAGACAGCAGCAACGCACCCAGAGGGGTGAGGAGGAGCCGAGCCGCCCACGTGGCCCATTCACTCAGCACCCGCTTCCCCTCGACACACTATCATCTGGGGCTACTGACATAGCCCTCCCCGCATAATCCGCCACCTCCCCTCCGTCCGCACCTGAGTCTGCTGTGCCCCGTTAGTGACCAGATCCTCTGTGTACAATACCAGCCCTTTAAAGACTCTGAATGTACAGATCTGCCCACGACACTCATCCTTCAGAGATGAGCACCAGTATTTTAAAAATACGAGCCATTGGTATCCTAATGCTTTAGGTATTTCCATCAAAATTGGTATTGCTGTTTGTTTTCCCCAAAGCAAGATTTTTTTTTCCTGTTTTTCCCCCAACTTACATAAAAATCTCATAGCTGGCCCTAGCCGGTTTGGCTCAGTGGATAGAGCATTGGCCTGTGGACTGAAGAGTACCAGGTTCTATTCCCATCAAGGGCACATGCCCAGGTTGCAGGCTCCAACCCCAGTAGGGGGCGGGCAGGAGGCAGCCGATCAATGATTCTCCCTCATCATTGATGTTTCTCTCTCTCTCTCTCTCTCCCTTTCTCTATGAAATCAATTTTTAAAAAATTTTAAAAAAATCTCACCGCTGGAAACTTCCACATGCATATTTACACACAATTTTAGTAAATAGTCTTCAGAAGGAAAGAATGCAACCCAGTCGGCACACAGCATCGCTGGCCCCGCACTTCCATTCGCACGTTTCCAAAGATGAACACACCGTCAGAGCGAGGGTAACTACTTGCCCCCCACCCCCAATCAGCGCGATGTTTTAAAAGACTGTTTCACTGTATGCGTGAGCGGTCTCATTGATTAAGTGTGTGCGTCTTAGTAAACAAACATATAAGTGCATGTTCCGTGCACACAGCTGGCAGACGGGTCCTCGGAGCCACACGCCCCAGCTCCGTGACCCTGTCCAAGGCTACTCCCCCATTAAAATACCCAGAGCGTGAGCTCATGTTTTCAAAAGGCAAAACTTTAGTCTCGGTGGCAGTCGGGAAGAGTAATTTACAGGGGAAAACAGCCGAGGTCTGCTCCTTAACCAGGCGAATCCTCGCACATTTCTACTTCTGTCCTCATTGTTTTTCCACATTAAGAAGCCCCTTTCTCCTAAGCAGCTTGATTATTTCAAAACGCTCCTGTGATTGCGCAGCTTATCCACAGACCACAGACCCTGGGGACCGGGCGGAAGCTCGTCTGCCCCCACCACCATGGCACTGCTCTGGAGGCGAACGGGGCAAGTATTCCCCAAGTCCGAGGGCTGGCGAGGCTGCATGCGCCACCCCAGCGGGCACCAGACAATCAAGGAGGGCTGCCTGGGGTAGAGGGGGGGAGGGAGCGAAAGGTCTTTTTTTCGTTGATCTCAACACATGGTGATGTCTGACATGTGGCAAACGAAAGGAAAACTGGGCTGAGGAAAAGCACCACACAGACAACACAAACCCCTGGAAGCCACTCAGGCCCCGAGGTAACAGACGCACAAGGAGCCAGCGAGCCAGCCCGCCGGGTCTGAGTTCTTCGGGCCCGGCCGCACCCCCTTCAACAGGACACTTCCGACCTGCCACCCGCTGACGAGGAGCAGCCACAGGATCGCGTTTCCAGGGCCCACTTTCCACACCCTCGGGTCCACTCCGTTGTTTTGCTCTGCTCCTTGCATACGTTCCCATCCCAAATGTTTCAGAGAACCCAGTGTTCCCATCTCGGCCCTTGCTCAGTGGAGCTGCCATACTCCAGGCATCCGCTCCACTATATCAAACCAAACCAAACGTCCATGGACACAGACGGCCGCCCCTCCCCGGGAATGTGTGCGGCCGCTTCCAATGAAAAACAAACAGGATAGGTCACCTGGGGGGATAACAGAGCGAAAGCAACGTGCAGGAAGCAGAAGAGAGACGCTGCCAAGACCCCCAGATAAGGTTGTGACTACAATTTGGCTAAATTTTCTGGCAGCTAAAGCCGAAAAGTAAGCACATTGCCATTTTCTGATAAAAAAAAAAAAAAGCAAAAAACTTGTCTTCAAAGATGGAACTTTTTCCTTGAAGAAACTAAATAAGAATTTTCCCCGAGAAATATTGGTCTGAAGTACAAAAGTCAGTGGATCAGATCTATGGTTCTGGAGCCCAGAGAGCAGGTCCCTGCCCTTTCGGGGGTGACAGGAAGGGGGGAAAGGACTGGGAGGTGCCCGTGGTGGGGGCTGGTGGCACAGGTGCACTGGTTTGGGGGTACAGCAGGCTGAGGTCCTCTCTGCCTCGTGTGTTTGAATAAAAAGTTGTAAAGGATCTCAAATAGCTGTATATTTTGTGCCTTGATCTTTAATTTAGAAGAAAGTCGCTTTTTAGATAAAAAGTATCCATTCTTTTCTCAAAACTCACTTTTAAACCCTAGAAAACAAGAGTTTCCTTAGCCTTAAACATAGTAGAAACTGTGAGATTAAACAGAAGATCTGAAGGATGAGACGAAGCGGTGTGGGGACAGAGGTGAGCGGGAATCAGGTACGCTCAGGCCTCAATCCATTAACTCATCCAGTATCACAGAACCACCCCCATCCATTTTTGCAAGATGAACGCAAGGAAACAACGCTTACGAACTTTCTTCCCATTCATCAGTCACTCATTAAATCGGATATACTATTGCATGGCCTTTTCACTTCTGAATAGATCCACTTATTCAAATGAACCACCAATGGCTCCTATTTTTAAAATCCTGAAATGTATTTAGGAAATGAAAAGAGCAGTGTGTACACAAATGCACTGACAGATCACAAAGAGTGGTCATCATTTCAGCAGGAAAGGACCTGTCTTTATAAAATACAGTCTAGAGGCCGAAATCACGGTCCAGCAAAAATCAGAGCAACTGGATATGGCCAGGGGGCCGCCATCTATCCACACAGGGATGCGATGCGAGGCGGTGCCTCCTCCAGGCCCCGTGACTCTGTTTACCTGCTACGCACCCACACACGCATCTACACGAAGCTCCTCGGAATTCGCCCCTGGTGTTCCCAATTCACGCTCCTCCGTGAGATCTAAGTATCTCCCGGGAATACTTTTCTTTCCTGCCTCTGAGCTTTTCTCCCAGGGTTGACAATAAGGGAGTTCTTTCTCCCCCTCTTCCCTCTTGCTTATGATGACACAAGGATTAATCTCTTGGTTGATTTTTAAAAACTGCTTAAAATACATGTTTCCTAGGAGTAGCCGCCCTCGGCTACCCAGGTCTATGCACAAGGGATGTGCACAGCAGAATTTCAAACGGTCGGGCCAATATTTGGACAAACTGGACATAGCCCCACCCTGCTTTTCTGCCGGCACTCCCCGAACCTCACCACTCACATGTTGGCCTTTAAGGCATACTCCCCTGACCCCCCCTCCTAGGTCCCATCACTTTTAAAGTTCAGAAGGCCAAAGGCATCCGCCTCTTGCCAGGATCACATATAAGATGGGTGAGAGGGAGTGACCAAGAAGGGAAAGCAATACAGTAGAAAAATGACTTTTCCAACAATATGATCCCCAAAGCAGTGGCTTTCTGAGTGTTACTTTTGTTCAGCAAAACGCTTTGCTCTCCGGGGGAAATACTGCTTTCAGGAATCCCAGGGGTGTGCACGGTGTTAAGATTATGCTCCGGTGACGCCTGGCCGAGGGCATCACTAGACCTGTGACTGCAGGTGTAGAGTTAGCTCCCAGCATCCCCAGCCCTCAGCCTTCCAGGGATATGCGCTTCCTGATCATGGAAGAAGCGAAATATCTTTCAAGTCCCCAGACCACAGTCATGCTCCAAGTAAGTGGTTAATGTCTGAAATGACGAACACCTCTCTGTATAAGAAAAACCCAGGCGCCTGGACTTAGTGATTTAAAACGCTGCCAGTGACTAAACAGCCGTCTATCACACAGACAGGCTTTTCCTAAGAGACTGAACCAAACTGCCCACCAACTGAGAACACACGCTGCCATTAGGCGCACATTAAAACATGTGTTATAATCCCACTAACATTCCCTCCATCTGACACACCTGATTCTCTTCCCCTGAGGCACGACTTACTCCCCGGGCCCCAAGGTCCCTACCGTTCCCAGCTGCCCTTTCATTCAACAGCACAGAGCTCGACAGGGGTCACCTTCCACAGGGGTCACCTTCCACAGGGGTCACCTTCCACAGGGGTCACCTTCCATAGGGGTCACCTTCCACAGGGGTCACCTTCCACACAGGGTCACCTTCCACACAGGGGTCACCTTCCACACAGGGTCACCTTCCACAGGGGTCACCTTCCACACCACATTGGCTGCATCAGGTGGCAGCCCCCAGGCCGCCCCCTCCAGGGGCCTGGGCATCCGTCTTTCAGGTCCCCAGGGTCCTGTCACCCCTGCCCCCCTTGGTCAGGGGAGCCCTTTAGCCAACAGTCCTCACTTGGTGGGAGAGCCTCGTCCACCCGCTGGTACCGGCTGACATCCTGGCGCACGGACGGCAGCGAGCGCAGTGGCTGGTGGCCGTTGGCCTGAGAACCTAGGGTTAAAGGTGAAAGTTATCCAGGTACTACTCCCGCCTCAGTGTCAACAACCTTAAACAACAAAACAAAACTAGCACCCAGACTGGAAACACATTAGTATAATATTGTATTAAAAACCTAGCATACATCGTGGGCAGGTCTCCTTTCTCTCTCGAGTCTCATTTCCCATAGGAAGACCCAGAAATAAAACAGGAGGTGAATGCTGAGTCAGGAAAGGGTTCCTGAGAGATGTCCATCTGTACCCGTCCCTCCCCTCCCGTCCCCGGCCCCTCCTCACCCCAACCCTTATCCTGGTCATGCACTCATGCTTTAAGGTCACCTTGTATATGGCCACAAGGTAATGAAGGAAACAAAACAAAACAACAACAGAAGGAGGAGGAAGAAAAGGAGGGGCATACTTTAACTAGGAAAATAAATTACAGCCCGGCTGGTGTGGCTCTGTGGTTGAGTGTCGGCCCATGAACCGAGAGGTCACAGTTCGATTCCCTGTCAGGGCACAGGCCCAAGTTGTGGGCTCGATCCCCAGTAGGGGGCGTGCAGGAGGCAGCCCATTGATGTCTGTCTCTCGTCAATGTTTCTATCTCTTTCTCCTAATCAACAAAAATATAGTTTAAAAAATAAATTTCAGAATAAGAAAACCCTTCCCAGTTCTGAGTCTGTGCTATGTAGGCCGATGAAACTGTCCTTCGACTTGTTGGTGCATCTATAATGGAACATTGTTTAAGGAATCATCCTATGGAGCCACATTCGTTGACACACAATACAATTTTTATGTGTGCATCTGCACCCCAAGACACTCAGAGACACGGCAAAAACGTTACACCTGATGCCAAGCCCACACTCCTTCCTCCTCTGAAAGCCTCACACGAGAGGGTGAACCTTCAGGTCCCTGAAAACCCCTGCGGGTCACCCTGACCTTGAAGCTGCCGGCCTGCGTGGTTTTGTATCTACAAACTCCGGTCCTACCAGAGATGCATTGTGACGCTTGGTTTTGCTCTTATGCTGCCCAGACAAGGGCCTCATTGCTGCATACGCATGTGCCCGTGCAGTTCACACCTACGCACCTGCCCTCAGGCATCTAGGCCCTCCAGGCCTGTCCTGTGTGGACGGGGCGCCCCCAGCACCACCCCCCATGGGCCATCCTCCTGGGGAGAGCAGGTCCCCATAACGTATTCCTGATGAGGAGCCTCAAGATCCATCATCTAAGTCTCAAGACTTCTTTGACAGGCCTCTTATCTCAGCATAAAAGGTCCACTGAAAAATATTAACAACGCTAACCACTGATCACCAGGGTGAAGCATTCAGGCCACAGTCAGCCTGCAGCATAACTTGCATTCAGGGACAAAACCATCAGACGCCTTTTGGGCAGGCTGCTTGAGCCAAGCGCCATGCTGTCCCCCACCTCCTACCTCCAGTGGCGCCCTCCTCCTGGGCAGCGGCCCCTTCACCAGCCGCCTGGGCATCGCCGGCATCGCCCTCTTCCCGGGGCTGGCTCTCCACAGCGGCAGCCGCTCCCTCGAGGCTGCCCCTCCGCTGCCAGACCTCCGCGCCCTCGTCCTGGTCGGGGAAGGGGGCCGACTCTGCCCCGGGCCCCTCCTCCTCGGCGCTGGGCATGTGCACCGCCGGCAAGGACCCAGGGGCGCACGTGGCCTCCTGCGCCCCCCGGGCGGGGCCGCCGCTGGGGGGCTCCCCCGCACAGGCCCTGTCCTCCTCCTCCTCCTGGGAAGAGAAGGCCGGGGTCTCGGGGAACCGGGCACTCTCGAGAGAGGAGCACCGCGTCTCCACCGAGGACAGCTGCGTGGTGACGCTCTCATTGCAGGAGCTGTCCGCGCCGTCCAGGTCGCTCTCGCCCTCGGGCCTGGTGCTGGCCTCGCTCACGCTCTCGGTCCGGGCGGGGTCGCTGGGTTCCGTCTCGGAGGACACCTGGGAGGGCTCCGAGCCCTGGTCAAGGGACTCGGTCTCACTGGTGGCCCTCCGGCTCCCTCCCGAACGTGTCTGGGGTGCCCGTGTCTGCCCCACTCGTGGGCGGGTCCACCTCTTGGGAGCCACAGGGCTCAGTGCCGTCCTGGTCCTGGTCCTGGTCCTGGTCCTGGTCGGCGCCGGCTGGAGACTCTGGACCCTCTTCGCTGTCCCCTGGGGCGGGGCCTGCTGGGGAGGAGCCCTCGGCCAGCTCCTCGGGGAGACCCTCCGGCTTCCCCTCCAAGGAAGCGGCATCGTGCGTGGGGGCCTCCTCGGTCTCCAGCGGGGTGTCTTCCTGCTTCGTCTGAGAGGACAGGCTCCCGTCGTCAGTCCTCGATGGCCCGCCGAACATGATCAGGCCCCCCTCCTCCTCCAGGGACGACGGGGAGCCCAGGCCCGGCTGCAGCTCGTGGTCCCTCCTCGTCGGAGTCGATGTGGAGCATGGCGCTGAGCCTCGTGTCGGTGGGGAAGCTGCTCCTCAGCTTCGGAGAGGCCCCCACGGGCCGCTCGGCGCAGGGTGCGGGGCCCGGCCTGGCAGGGCCTCCGTGTTCCACGGCATCCAGGTAATCGTTGAGTGAGTCCTGGCGTCCGCGGGGCGGCGAGTTCCTTGAGGACACAGAGGTCAGATCCTCCGCGTCCATGTCCAGGGTGGAGCTAGTCCTGCAGGAGTGCTTGGGAGTCCCCTCGGCACTCTCCTCGGACACGGGCCCGTTGGAGCAGGCCGGGCCGTCGGGGTGGGCCCCGGCCATCTCCTCCTCATCCGATGGGCTGCCCAGGTCTCCGTTCACAGAGCCGACCCCGAGCATCGTGCCCACGGCTTCCGGGGAAGCATCTGAAGGAGAAAGCAGCGTTCATCAAAACCAAGCCCTCTCGCAAATTAACTTTTCATGTCCTATCCCTTCGTCAACCATCAGTTCATGGATGCAGTCCTCCCCCTGAACCCTCTTCCCAGCATCGCCGACTCGCTAAGACTCACGCCTCACCAGGAACGGGCCTGTTGCCGGTCACTCTGACGTATGAGGTGCACACGTTCACTACTGGGCACGGGCGACCACCCGGCGCCCACATGCAGGCGTACGCACCTGAGAGACGTTTCTGACAAGCAGGCTCTTCGGCGCTGCGTGACCACCTCCAGGTCATCACTGGGTCGCTGTTTTTGTTTTCAGAACAGGACACCCATTTGATCCTATGCACATGCAAACTGACAGCGAAGACGCAACGCGTTTTCCCACAGGGACAGACTTATCCCGGCATCTCACCTTCATGCAGGGAGGACGTCACCTCCACTTTAAACTGGAGGTACCCGCTCACGTGGTCGGCGGGCAGCCTTCTGCCGAGGTTGTAGCTCAGCATCTGGTCGCTGCAGAGGAGAAAGGGTTTCGTCCTTCTACACTGGTGCCAGCCTTCGTCTTCTCCCCACAACCCCCACCCCGCCCCGAATCCCATGTACTTCACTTAACACTTACAGACTTATCCTGTATAATAAAGAGCTAATATGGTAATTAGACCGAACAGCAGAACGACCGTCCAGACGACCTTCCAGACGAGGCAGCCTGGGCTGCTAGGGCCAAGCCCATTGCACGAATTTCGTGCATCAGGCCTAGTAAGAAAATAAAAGGCTCAAAGGCACGTTTGAGTCCAGTCTAATACTGTTCACTCGAACAAGTGAATACTTAGATAAAGGGAAATCTGGTCAGCCCAACTGGCGTGGCCCAGTGGTTGAGCATTGACCTATGAACCAGGAGGTCACGGTTGATTCCCGGTCAGGGCACATGTCCGGGTTGTGGGCTCGATCCCCTCTGTGGGGCGTGCAGGAGGCAGCCGATCAATGATTCTCTCTCATCATTGATGTTTCTATCTCTCTCTCCCTGTCCCTTTCTCTCTGAAATCAATAAAAATACATTTTTTAAAAAAAGAAAATCTTGTCTGAAGGAAAATTATGAGTAAAAGCAGAAAATGCAGTACTGCGTGTGTGGGGTTTTTTAAGTCCACTGATGCGCTCCCTCACTGTGAAGGGTGCCCAGGGAGAGGACACTTTGAGAATCATGGAGGAGCTGTGAAAGGCCTGGAATGAGGGGGTTTCTGGGCTCAGGTGCAGGCACAGTGGGCCTGGCTCCTTGGCACTGAGCACGCCAGGAAGCCAGTTCTGGAAGGACCCGCAGGCCAGGGCTCTCGCACGCACGCGGTCCTGGGGGGCAGTGTGTTCTGAAGAATGAGAGCTGGGGGATAGGAGGTGGCAGCCACGCCCTGACAGCTGCTCCCGCTGAGTGAAGGGCCGCGGCGCTGACCCTCCCCGTCCACCTGCACAGTAAGGGGGAGCTGGCCCTCGCCGATGGGGATGGGGCAGCTGGAGAAGCTGATGTGCCCCTGGGGTGGGTCTGGCTGCTGCCCTGGCAGGCGTGCTGAGGGGACCGCATGTGGGCAGGCCCAGGTTCTGCCCCACCTCGGCTCCTGGCTCAGGCTCCCAGCCTCCTCTGGGATGGAACTGTCTGTCTTTTCAATTCCGTGTCTATTTATCAACGTCAACTGCAATTACATCATGTCTTGGTATGCAAGCCACTTTCATTCCGCGTCTGACCTACATTTAATAAGGAAAGTAACCCTGGCCTGGCCCCCAATCACTCCATCTCCGCTCTCACACTGCCCTCTGCTGGCAGCTGCAGGACACACCGCGCCTCTCCCTGCTGTTTGCAACAGCACAGCCAGCGCAGGGCCCCAGCAGGCGGTTTAGGGTTAATCTGCATCACTGTTTGTGCTTCTCCTCCTCCTCAGCACAGTGCTAAGGAGCCGCTATCTGTGGAAGAGAGCACGTGCTAATTAACGTGCAATCCGAGGTCAGCTCCCATGAAGTTCTTTGGCTCCATAGCAAGAATCTCATAAAACAATACTATACCCTTCACCTTTCTCTTTTTCTCCCCTAGAAACGTGGTGAGGATTTTTCTTGTCTTGACTGGTGCTTCGAAGCTGCTTTGTTTCCCCAAACTGAGTCTCCCTGTGTGTCACTCACGCTCCGCTGGGGGCTCTGCCTGCTTCTTCTCTTTACTCCTCCCAGCATGCTCTGGCGGAGGCCCTGTTGGCTAGAGGCGACGGCACAGGGAGGAGAAGCAACCTGCCCCTGGCCAGACACGAGGGAGGAACAGAGCCAGGGTCAGAACAGGGATTCACCTAACACGGAAGCCGGCCCTGCTCTCACCACATCCCATCTGACTCATCCTGCCTCTGGCGGGGACACATTACTGTGAACGGTGTATGATACACTATCATGTGCTCTAATTATAGGGAAGAAGTGCCAGGAGCTCTCACTACCTGCCTGGAGCGTTCCTCACCGATGGCATCGCAGCAATGACGCGGCCTGGACGTGACGCGCCCGGACAGAGGCAGGCCCGCCCTCCCTGAAAACGGCCGGCTTCACGCAAAGGCACCCAAAGCAGGTGGATCGCGAGGAGCCCCGGCTCACCCTGCACCGCCCCTGTGAGCCCCGACTGTGTCCGACCGTCTCGGCCTCCCACACAGAGTAAGGGAGACCCGGCATTTTTCAAGAAGTAGTGATTACCGGATGGGAAGCAATAATCCGATCAGAAACATGTATTTCGATGCTAACATCTGGCCTACTAATATGTAGTACGTGTCATTCTTACTTAATGAAGCCAATCCCTGGGCCTCCGCATCAGGCAATGCTCTCACTGTTCGTGTACAGAAATATTTCGTAATTCTGCTCTGCTGTCCATTCATGCTGGACCTCCTTCCGGCACACGTGGACTCCATGATCTTTCAAAGACTAAATGAGCCCAGCTGTGTGGCTCAGTGACTGAGCGTCGACCTGTGAACCAGGAGGTCATGGTTCCTTTCCCGGTCAGAGCACATGCTTGGGTTGCAGGCTCAGTCCCCAGGAGGGGGCATGCAGGAGGCAGCCAATCAATGATTCTCAGCATTGATCTCTCTCTCTCCCTCCCTCTCTGAAATCAATAAAAAAAAAAAAAGAAGACCAAATGAAAAGCCAGCAAGTCAACAAGTTTCACACACTGACAAGGTTTTATCTTTCCTTGATCATTCTGACTGACATATGTCAATGAACACTTCTGCCATAAGTAGAGTCTCATTTGTTAATTACACCTTTTATTATGTAAATTATATAATTATATAAATTAAATGGTAGCTACATTTCCCATAGTTATTCTCACGCTTTATAATCACTCACTTTCTATAAACCCTAAAAATAATTTTAAAAACTTCCCAAAGTACATTATCTCCACTAGCAGCAATCAATGTTATCCTTAAAAATAACAAATTAAAAAAAATAGTGCATCTCCCAGCTTGTATCTGATAAACTAGCTGCTAGAATTTCAGTGTGATTTATACTTCCTGTGGGCTGGCTCAACCCCAAACTCCATCACCTCTGAGGGCCAGAGAACTAGAATCCATTGGAATCCCTTAGTTTCAGATTTCTACGGCGTCTTAGAGATGACCTGGCCTAAACGCCTTATTCATCAGGAGGGAAAAACAACGCCCATAGAAGCGGTGGTGCCAGCCCCGTGAGTCAGCTGCAGGGGAACACAGTGCCCGCCTCCCTCAGGTCGCTGGACCATAGGATGCTCCTGCCGGTCCTCACGGGGCTGCAGACTGACCCGCACTCAGCTCCCAGCTCCGCCACCTGCTGGTGAGCCTCTCCTTCCTCATCTCTGAAATGGGTGTAATCACATTCCTCACCTCCCAGAGCTGTTGAGCTGATGACATGAGCTAATGCGTGTCACCTGCTCAACTCCCGCCACAGAGCGAGTCTTGGCCTCTCTTTTGTTCACTAGTACTGTTGGGACAGCACAACCACTAAGGCTGCCAACACTGACACGGCCGCTGTCCCTACTCTTACTGCTCTTACTCCTCTTACTACTATTACTACTCTTACTACTCTCACTACTATTACTACTCTTACTACTCACTACTATTACTACTATTACTACTCTTACTACTCTCACTACTATCACTACTCTTACTGCTATTACTACTCTTACTACTATTACTCCTCTTACTACTGCTGGGGCTACTGCTACGACTACTGCAACCACCACATGTTCAGCATGTTCTCTTACAATGACCAAGGTCCGAGTGCCACCTCAGGCGCCAGTGTCACCGCACTTGCTGGTCCTCGCCATGTACACATCGACAGGCCATTTATAACAAGGGGTGGAGGCATGTTATGATTTCTTACCTACGTTATTCACAACTTACAAAAGGCTCACAGACAGCAAACGTAAATGACAGCTGCCTGGGTGAATGGATATGTCTAGGAGTTCCCCCGTCAACCAGTTCCCCGGATGGGATCAACCCGGATCAGGGAGGCGTCGACATGACACCAGGATCCTGACTTGGGGAACTTGGGGAGAGGCCTTTATAGCGAGATTCCAAAAGACTCCACCCAGCTGATGTGGTGCAGAAATGCTCGCGGCAGAGATTCCAAAAGACTCCACCCAGCTGATGTGGTGCAGAAATGCTCGCGGCAGGCCACCTTGGAAAAGACAGACACCCCCAAATGGTGCATCACTAAGTCAGAGCGCTTCGTCCTGCCCGTTTTCATGTAGGAGCATTTCCACTTTTAAAAGAGATGTGTTATCACTTCTTATCAGTGAGCAAAGGCCTAGGGCTGGAAGTGAAAGCATCATTTCAGCTGCTTCTGTGCAACCCCCCCCCCGAAAGGCCCACCCAGAGGTGTTGGGGGCGGGGCTGGTTACCCGATGGCCTGGCGCTCCAGCAGCCGCTGCACAGGGATGGTCAGCTTCCCCAGGAAACGCTTGATGATAGGACGGCTCTTGGCAAATTTGTCTTTAATTTCAATTTCTAAGACATCGGTAAGAAGTGCAAAAAAGGAGTATTTCTGAAAGTAAAAACAGATAACAGGCTGATTCAGAAAAAGACAAACAGGAAATTACATCATTTATTATGATAGAAAATGTCATCGCTTTTCAATCTTAATGACGTACAGAGTCCACATTGCTAGAAAGAGCTACAGCTGTTGTCGATTTTTTATTCACTCAGACTCATTAACATGCACAAAGATTCAAAACCAACAGCTGCCCGGCTGGCGGGGCTCAGTGGTTGAGCGTCAACCTATGAATCGGGAGGTCACAGTTCAATTCCAGGTCAGGGCACATGCCTGGGTTGCAGGCTTGGTCCCCAGTGGGGGGCGTGCAGGAGGCAGCCGATCGATGATCCTCTTTCATCATTGATGTTTCTGTCTCTCTATCCCTTTCCCTTCCTCTCTGAAATCAATAAAAATATATTTTTTAAAAAACCAAACCCAACAAGCTAGGGATCTGTATGACAAAGGGAGCCCCTTCCCTTACCACATCCTTTCCTGCTTCAACAGTTTTAGGAGATGTTACCAAATATTAAATTGTGCACAATACAATTTTAGTATTCATATATTTATTGTATCTTAATTCTTTGAAATTTAACATGCTGGTATAGGATGGTTTAGAACAGTGATGGTGAACCTTTTGAGCTCAGCGTGTCAGCATTTTGAAAAACCTTAACTTAACTCTGGTGCCGTGTCACATACAGAAATTTTTTGATATTTGCAACCATAGTCAAACAAAGACTTATATTTTTGATATTTATTTTATATACTTAAATGCCATTTAACAAAGAAAAATCAACCAAAAAAATGAGTTTGCGTGTCACCTTCTGACACGCGTGTCATAGGTTCACCATCACTGGTTTAGAATGAACCGATATATTTGGTTAACAGCAATTTTCATTCCTGATCCCATGTTATGTAGAAGTTGCCCAACATAGGTTCAAATACCCCTACTAAAGTAGAAACATCTACAGAATACCCTGGTTTCCTTGGTAAATATTCAAGTAAATATTTACACCCCCCTCCTCAGGCTTGCACTGGCCACGTCGGTAAGAACTTTGTCAATATCAAATGTGAGGAAAATAAAGTGATTGCTAATTATTGCACTCTGTGCCTGCTAGCGCTCGTGTTGAGATAAATTTTATGTTTTCTAGGCTTCTAACGTGTTGAAATTCGGTGGTCCGCCTTTACAAGTTATTTACTGTTTTGGAGATAGTAAGTACTTGTTTTTAAAACCAGGAATAAGAAAACATGCTTTTATCTGTTTAAATAACCTAAGAACTCCTAAGAGCCATATCTTTTCTCCACTTGGTTAGAGGTCCCCTGAGTTATCTCCCTCTCCAATGAAATACTTCCACACACTGTCAGAACATGGTTGTCAATAAACAGTTAGGGAATGTTTTAATTATCGGTGTGATTCCTATGCCAACAAAGGTTTACCCAGAAACACTATCTAGTACTGGAAATGTCTTGGGTCCCAAAAAAACGGCTGTCCTCACTCGAGGAGAAACGGGGTCTCTGTTCGTTCTCGGGGTTTTCTGTAGTTCTAAGGAGAGCCCCTCGCCGGGTCTCCCTGGCACTCGGCACCGACTAAGGGAGTTGGGAGGGAGCCTGAGGACCCCCAACACAATCTGGCTTCACTCTCTGAGTAGCGCACTGAATTTCCCGAAATCAAGAAATCCCAGACACATTCGCCAGAGCCTGCAGGCGGGGAAACTCCTTTAATTTGCACTGAATATATGCGAGAACGAAACACCAACATTTCAAATAAAAACCATCAATCTCTCTGATTTCTCCTTCTGCCTCCAGGTCCAACATGACTGCAAGACAATGCTGCTGGGCCTGTCCTGTCTCCACATTTTGACACTCTGTGCTCATCATTTGTTTGCATTGATTTTGACTTTTAAAAAAATATATTGCAGCCCAGCTGGCGTGGCATTGAGCGTCGACCTATGAACCAGGAGGTCACGGTTTGATTCCCGGTCAGGGCACATGTCCGAGCTGTGGACTCGATCCCCAACGTGGGGCGTGCAGGAGGCAGCTGATCAAAGATTCTCTCTCATCACTGATGTTTCTATTTCTCTCTCCCTTGTCCCTTCCTCTCTGAAATCAGTAAGAATATATTTTTAAAAACCACACACACACACACATACATACACATATTGCATTAAAGTATTTCTTTTGATTTTTGAGTCTTTTGGCATCCTTTACATTGTGCACCGTAAGATGCTTCCCTTGCCTTATTCTAGACCAGCCCCGACTAGAGGGAATATCTCATTCTCACTGTGCCCTCTCTCCAACAGGCCCCCTAGACACCTCCAGCTCAATGCTGCACAGAGTCCGGAGGAAAGGGCTGGAGTTGGCCACCTCCTCCTCCTTGGTCACGTCTCAGACCCTGGGGACCACCTCACTCTCGGTGCCAAATGGGGTTGGTGGTGTTGCTGATGATGGTGGACCTCCGCTCCTGCCCATGGTGGGCACAGGTAGGGAAGCTGCTCTTCTTCCCCGGCCGGATGGACATCTTCAGGTAAGGGTCCGGGTTGAAGAACATCCCTTTCTTTAGCCCGACAGCTCTGAGATCTTTAAAGAAAGAGAAAGAGAGGAGGGAGGAAGGGAAGAGAAGGGCAGAGGAAAAGAGACAGAAGGACAAGCAGCTCAATGACAATTGTTCTTAAATAATCAGGCAGGAAGCACTAAACAGAAAGGATCTGGTGAAACGATAGCACTGTTATTCATACTGCGACCACGTAGGTAAGTGAGTTCAGGCGGGTTGTGACTCATCCCAGCAGAGAGGCCTCCTAGCAGGCTGCAAAAGTGAGCCCAAACTTTACCCCCACCTCACACACCTAGATTCTAACGTGTATGTGGGTTGGCAACCAGCATTACAATGTCTTGAGAGAAATCCTCAGTAAACTGTTTATTTAAAAAAAACAAAACACCAATAGGTCCCTTCATGAGAGAAATATGAATCTTTGACATACATACAGGAAATGCACTGACCGACGTTTAACTGGGGCGGACACTGCAGAGCACACATTCAGTTGCACACATTCACCATGTCACGTATCTTCCACAAATGCCATGAATGATAGGGAAGCGGGGAGACCAGAAATATTTCTGAAAGTTGAATGCTACCTACTGGATTAAATAACTATGAGGTTACTTCCTAAATAGCCTAAGTCACTTAAATATTGAACGAGTGTCCCATGTCTCATCTTCTGCAGCAGCTGTGATTTCACTATGCGAGCTGCTAAAAGTTCTGGCTAAAGTCAGGTTCGTGAAGAGAATGACACTTTTTTTTAAAGGCCAGGCTTAGGGATACACACACGTCAGGAAATGAAGCTGCTTCCCTGCAGGTGGCCCCTGAACCTCCAAAGGCCTCTGGGTTACCCAGACCCGCTGGGGAAGAGACCCCGTCATGTGACCCTAAATTGTCTCCACGGCCATCCTACTCAATCCCATTTCTGAAACACAAAGTCTTTCTTCGAAGGACAGAACTGGCCGGGGGCTGCCCAGAGAACCCTACTCTCTGGGGACTGCTCCCTGCAGGCGCTCACACCCTCATCTACCAGTGGGAACTTGGGGTCTAGACGTCTGTGCCATGAAAACAGACCGGGAGAGTCTGATGACACACAACGGGCAGTAGAGGGAGGCAGTTTAATGTGTTGGCAAAGCCCTCACCGGTTTGGCTCAGTGGATAGAGCGTTGGCCTGTGGACTGAAGGGTCCTAGGTTTGATTCCTGGTCAAGGGCGCGTACCTGGGTTGCAGGCTCCATCCCCAGTGTGGGGCGTGCAAGAGGCAGCCAATGAATGATTCTCTCTCATCATTGATGTTTCTAGCTCTCTCTCCCTCTCCAAAAAATAATTTAAAAAACATACACACACACAAAAGAAAAACTTATTTTAATATGTTGGCAAAGATTGAAACATTCAACAGACAGGACCTGATGTTAAGAACATGCAGGAGACAGAGTGAGATCACTGACCTGAAAACCGGCGGGAGCGACGCTGCTGTCCCCTCGGGAGCCTGACCGCTCCCATCCCTGCCCCCCCCCCCCGCCCACCAGTGCACTTGCACTTCATTACCCATTTAATAACACTGCGTGTCTTCACTGGGCTTACTTTAGCATAAAATAGCCAGCCTTGAGAGAGAAAATGCAATTTACATACTTATTTTCTTACCTTTCTTGATTATGCTCGCCTCGACTCAAAGGCAGAAAAATGACATTCTTTAGATAGTAAATCGAGTTCTTTGCAATAAATGAGGAATAACATGTACAGAAATGGCTGCCACACAGTCTGACAGAGCTAAATCATTCATGCAAAACATTCCTTTGAACACAAAGAATTTCCCCAGAAGATGAAGTCACTGTGATGAAAGAAGTCACTGCTAACCCTCATACCAGTTTTCCACCAGGGACACTGTGCAAATAAACCTTCATTGAGAAATACAACCAACTCCCAGTTATGTGTGGTCGGATTGCTCAGTTCCCTTCACCGGTCTCATCTCTGCTCTTGTTTCTCCCTTTTGCCTTTTATATCCCTTATTGCTCATAAATATCCGCATCACCTAATAGACCAATGAAGGACTCAAAGTCACAAAGGTATGACATGGTAGATATCCTGGTTTACAGCTTTATCTGGAGAAGAGGTTTAAGACATTAATCAAAACACAGTTGTTTTGTTTTTGGCATGTTGGTGTTTCTTTTTTGTTTTGTTTTGGTTTTTTTAAGAGAGAGGGGAAGAGAGAGAGAGAGAGAGAGAGAGAGAGAGAGAGAGACATCAATTGGTTGTCTCCCACACATGCACTGACTGGGGATCAAACCCGCAACCTGGGTATGTGCCCTGACTGGGAATCAAACCCACGACCTTTTGGTGTATGCGATGATGCCCCAACCAACTCAGCCAGGGAAAACACAGTTTTTGGATTTTGCCGTAGAGTTCAATTATTTGTGTCCCTAGTTATTCATAGATAATCAAGAGTAGAGCGTTTGCAGGCAGCCACTCCACAGGGCTTACATGCTCTTGGATAAATATCGTCACTCAATGTCAATATGCTACAACCAGATTAATTTGTTCAGAATTAGAGACTTGTTTTCATATTCTATCGTTTTAGCCACTTCTGTCTACCACCTGCACATATCTGACCACATGGTAGGAAATAAGACATAATGTTAGCCAGCCGCCACGTGTATTGAGGTGGGACATTAGAAGTTGTGTTTAAAGAAGAAACATCTGGCTGTGCCCCTACTTTTTAGGAAAATGTCCTGGGATTTCCATGTTCTAGATGCTCATTCTCCCGTAATGAGTTAATTAACACCCCTCTGCAGTCAAAATCAATATGTGTGTATCATTTTTAAATATTTTTATTGATTTCTGAAAGGAAGGGAGAAGGAGAGAGAGATAGAAACATCAACGATTAGAGAGAATCATTGATCGGCTGCCTTCTGCATGGCCCCTACTGGAGATCGAGCCTGAAACCCGGGCATGTGCCCTTGACCGGGAATCAAACTGTAACCCCCTGATTCATAGGTCCACGCTCAACCACTGAGCCACGCCAACTGGGCTGTGCGTGTCCTATTCAGACTGATACTGACCGCTTGGAAGCACAGGGCGATGCTTCTACACTAAGGAAACCACGGTGTGGTCAACCTACATGTCCTGAGCCACGCAGGCCAGCTCGTGCTCCCCACCGATAAAGAAAGGACTTGTGCACCTGCAGCCCCTCAGGACTCTGAGGTCTAAGGTACAGGTCGCCACCTGCCATGTTCTTGAGAGACAGACAGATGAAGGGACAGGGGAGTGTCACAGGCAGTGGTGTGCCTACGTGCCCTGCTGAAAACCTAGACATGTGTCAACGCTGAGGGTTCCAACCAAAACATATGCACTGGCCACGTCTGAGCCATCAGTCATCAGTTCACCACTGCCGAGACCCGCCAGGAAACAAAACCAAGCAAGTTTTCCCAGGAAGTGCCTCCTCTGCTAGGACGGACATGGTCCCCGCAGGCCACGGCAGCCGTGAGTGACTTCCGTGCGCCCTTCGGTCAGATGCGACGAGGGTACACCACTGCCACGTCTGTTTTGAAGATCGGCCTGCTGACTCTCACTCGTGAGAACATATATTTTCATGCACATTTTTTTTTTGCAGCTAAGAAAGTAAACTGAATTTAAATTGAGAAGCACAACACAGATGGAAAATGAAAACAAAGCATCTGAAATGATAGACGTCTGTCAGACTTCATTTTGGATGTGTTGTAGCACAGTCGTCGACTTTGAAAGTCCATTTCAAACGCTGACTTTCTTAGTAAATTCTTGACTTTCTGACTGCCCATTGACTTTTTAAAAATCAAAGGCTTTCAAACTTTTTGAGTCCCCTACATATGAAGTAACATGTGACCATGAAACCCACACACACATACAGAGATGTTTTTCAGTTTGTATAAACTGATGTTCTATGAAAAAATATTTCCCTTTGGTGGTAAACTGATTTTTTTCTATGCTTTTTTAAATTGCTAGTTTCAATGAAATATATCTTGTAAACCACAAATGAGTTCCCACTCACAACCAGGTCTTTCGTTTTATGATACACAAACAAGCAATTAAAATATTGCAGCAACCAGAAAACAACAAAACAAATTGTTTTGCCCACTTTCTATTTTTATGTGTATTCCTCCACAGACATTGGGGTTCCCCTGGCTTCCCCCCTCGTTTCCACATTTCCCTTTCCCTAGATGAGGTAAGCACAAATCATCTTCAATAACCAACGCCCTCATGTGTGGTTAACACATGACATTACAGATTTTTTTAAAAGTAACTATACACAGTTACAGTCCTTTTCCCACCAGAAAACTCATTAGAAGAAATAACTTCTGAGTTTATATCAATGATCTATTTTTATCCTGGTAAAAGATATACTTGAATTTCAGAAGTATGACCCCCCCCCAGATCAATAACTAACTAGTCCACCTATAACATATGAGAATCTGTGAAAGAAAGGACTATTGATGCCCTTAAAATCGCAGACTTTCAAGCTGGACATCGCGCCAATGAAAGGCAGCCTTACCGGACAGTGTGAAGCTGATGAGCTTCCGGGAATGCGGGCTTCCAGAAGCACCTCCTTCTGCCCCCATCTGCAGACAAAAAACACGCGTGTGAAGCTTCACAGGGTCTGAGGCTGCTCAGCCGTCCTGGGGAATCACGTATGTTTGCCAGTGTGATGATGTTCGTACCAAACATGCCTGTAGTATATACCTTCTCATAAGCTGCGAAGCTTAGAATTGAGACACAAATGCAGATTCTCAGAGATGAGAGAAAGATCACACCTAACTTCATCTTTTACCCGAATGAGACCGATAGGAGCTTCTAAATTCGCTGGATATGAATCAACTTACTTTCTGTCCTTTTAGTCTTGCTAGAGATAGTGATAGATAGTAATGTACT